GAAAAAAAAAAAAAAAAAAAAAAGTCCTGATGGCAAGAAACAGTGGCTCCAACTCTAGGATTTATATAAAATAATCCCCTAGCTCTAAATGAGGAGAGTGATACGTCAAGGAGATGATGGGTTTATTAATTGTTTGACAAATGAAAACTGGCTTGGACTGCTTAAATGCTAATTACTAAGCAAAAGCGCTGCTCTCCTGGGATGGACACATGCAAGCAGTGATTAAGCAGCCCAGGAAAACTGACTGGCCTTAGAGCCAATACTGTTAAATTTGGCATGTTTCCCTTAATTGACAAGTATTTAATACCTCTGTCAAACCACACATCCGAGTGCTCACGAGCAGCTCTCATGCCCTCCTGTTCCTTTGCACGACCGAGTTTTTCCATTTCAACCAGGCCACAAAGGTTCACACGATGCAAGCGCCCGGGTATCCCCGCCCCTTTCAGCAACAAACTCCACTGGCAGCAACCAACAAAGAGCAGAAGCTGAAATGCCATCTCAAGAAGCACCTCTTGCACCTACACCATGCCAAGAGAAGAACCAGCAGTAACTCCAGAGCCCAGCAGAGTTATTTAGCACCTCTTCTGTATCCAAACTTTAACTGCATGCCTAGCTTCCATCATTTACTGAATTTAGCTCCATGGCAATTTGGACAAATCAAAAGGAAGAAATGTTTGATGATGAGGGTGGTGAGACCCTGGCACAGGTTGTCCAGAGAGGAGGTGGATGCCCCATCCCTGGAAACATTCAAGGCCAGGTTGGACGGGGCTCTGAGCAACCTGCTGTAGGTGAAGATGTCCCTGCTCACTGCAGGGGGGCTGGAACTAAATGATCTTCAAAGTCCCTTCCCACCCAAACCACTCTGTGATTCTATGAAATACAAGACCATGAAAACAACCACGCAGTGAGCATGGTCTGCCTGCAGCTCCCCATTTCTCTGCAGGGTACTCAGGCACCACAATCCCAGCTGGGCTCCACGAGGATGACAGAGGCCAAAGCCACACAGCCTTCACCAGAAACCGTGTGTGACAGTGCACGACACTCCGGCATTACCTCCCCTTCGCACAGCTGGAAGTGCCACTTTCAGTGAGCGAACCTAGTTTCATCTCGGGGCTCAAGCTCCAGCACAGCTCCTCCCTTCCCAGGAGAGGCGGGGCGGTCTCTTTACTCATTTCTCCTTGCCACCACATCCACCTGCTGCCAGGACAAGGCTGGTCCTCTTCACAAAGCAGCTGAACCTCCAGGAACTGATCCTGAAGGACCCAGTGACAAGCAGGACTGTGGGGCCAGCAGCAGCGTAAGGCAGGAACATCCCTCTCCTCCTCTCTGCCACCAGGACTGGAGTTATGATGTTGACTCATAACTCCTCTCCACTACCAGGATGTTGGTTAGCTGCTGACGAAGCCGCAGTTTTGAGCCTCCCACCTTCCAAGAAAACGCCCTAACTATGGAGCAGTGGGCTGGACAGGGCCCTGGCCAGTAAAACACACCATTTATGGGGCCAAAAAAAATAAGCAAGAAGGAAACAAACATTTTAGCTTAACTACCAGTACCCTGGCCTGGGAAGCACTGCTCCAAGCACTCATTCAGAAGCTCTCCATTTTCCAACAATCCTTGGGGGATGCATGGAAACTCTCCTGGGAGTGGGGATGTGAACCAGGGAGCAGGGATGTGAACCAGGGAGCAAGAGCTTCCCACTTTCCCAGCTTACAAACAAGGAGATTTCACTCCAAAAAAGTTGCAAACAAACTTGTGGCATGGCAGGTGAATGGGCTGCAGGATAGGAGTAGACCCCAATCCATCAAAATTAATTCCTTCTGTAAGCTTGCTGCTCTGCCTATTTCTATATTCTGCCTATTTGGCATTCCCTTCTTTTGTCCCTAAACTCTTCAGCGGAGCTGCTGTGCTCTGAAAATTAGTTTCTTCTGATCCACTAGAGTCAGCTGTAATTCGGCAGCAATCCCTGGGCAGCAGTAGGTTGCAAAGATCCGGCAATGGCATTTTTAGGATGCCAGGCAGAAGTTTCTGTGCCCTGAGGGAGGAAGCCTTCCTGATCCCAGCAAGCTGCAATGCAAGGATTAAAGAACAGAAAAGACAGACAAGAAAGAGAACTGCAAGCACAACACATATGGACACTGCCAACAGGTTTCAAGGTATTTTGTTGACTGGTTGGTTGGTTTTTATTTTTCCTTAATTTCTAGATTAGCTAATATACCCAATGTGGAAAAAAAGGTTTCATTCTTGGCCCCACTCACGCCTTTCCATGCAACCCCGGCCAAGCCGCTGAATTTCTCTGCCTTTCCTGTAAAACAGGCTGCAGCCACCATTTCATAAATGCCAGATGCCAGCTACAGGGCAGCATCCAAAAGCCAAACCAGGGCTCAGAAACCCAACAGATAACCCAGTGTTCAGACTGGCGCCTGCAACTGCTCCGCGGAGCTGCAACCGCAATAGATGTGTGTAAGTGCAGCTCGTAGGATTTTGACAATTAACCCAGTTTGGGATGAACTGGAGAGACATCTACGTATTGAAATCAGTAAGGAATTATAAAGCGTATATAGAGAGAGAGATGCACGAGGCCCTGGGCCAGCCAAGCTTTGCATCCTCTGTTGCTATTACCATGGAAAACTTTCCTGCACGGCTCTTTTTTACACAGCAAAAAACGAGCGTGCTCGTGTAGGTTTTGAAGCAGCTGCTTTCAAAAGCACCTTCCCGGCAGGGTCTGGACCCTCGCTCAGCCCCAGGATTTTTGCTCACCTCCTCCCACCGGTGAGGCCACCGTGTCCCTGCGGGTCCCTGCGGCCAAGCGCCAGCCTTGGCACCGCCAGGGCCACATTCCCGGGGTGTCACAAACAGCACATGGCCGGGCGCCGTGTTTAACCGTCTGCTGGCTGAGGAGCCGTAGATCCCGTCCCCAGGCCTGCTCGGGGGGGGGGCATCCGTGACAGCACGGACGTGTCAAACCCCACGTCCAGCTGCAGGGGGCGGGGGGAGGCTGCGCTGAGCACCGTTACCCTCCCGGGGCTGAAAGGGGGAGGAAGAAGAGGGAGCATTTCCCAGCAGCTCGGCTGAAGGAACACAGGATAGCCACAGATCACCTCCCGCCCAGCCCTGCCGGGGAGCCCCGGTGTCACGGGGAGGTGCGGGGGGCACCGCACCCGCCACCCCTCTGTCCCCCCCCGCCCTGCTCACCGGAGCTCTCCGTCCAGGGCCTGGATGACAGCGGCGAAGCTGCGGCTCGTCTGGTTGAGGTACCGG